GACACTGGAACGTGCACTCGGGGATGTCGGCGTAGTTGGCATGGCGACCGATGTGAGAAGCTGTGTGGCCGGAACTGTATTGCGGACATCTGTCATCAAGGAAGTGGACATTGTACCCATGGCTGCAGAGGGAGATATACAGGAGAGTTCTGTGAAGCAGAAACAGGTAAATAGGTGGAACCCAATCACGGAACCATCCTGCTGAGTTACCGCAGCTTGAGCAGCGTCAAGTAGTGTTAGGCTCTCGAGGCCAGATAATGAAAAAAATAATACTTGTTCAGTTGGACAAAAAAAGATTAAAATTTGAATATATTAAAAACTGTACGTTTTAAATACATAATCTGCTCATTGTAAGCCATTGAAAGCTTTCCTTAAATACCTAATATTTATTCTACTTAATCCCATAGAGTTTTCTGTTACAGGTGAGGGGCACAAAAGACTCATTAGTCATATTGTGGTTGTTACAGGTGAGTGGCACATTAGACAGACTAATTAGTCATATTGTGTTTGTTTGTTACAGGTGAGGGTCACATTACACAGAGTATACAGTTAATGTGGATTCTACCTGTTGCTGTCTTGATCTTTTCGACAATTTGTTGCTGGAAGAGGTGAGTTTACAATGTGTGGGTCGTGTTTTAACCTCACACTACATCACCATCTAGTTTATGAACAACTCATTTTGTTCAGCATACCTTTGACATATTTTACATGGGTAAAATGTTGTACTAGAATCTACAGGGTTTCAGTTGTACGAACACACGAATGTTACTCTATATTTTCTATGATGCCATCTTTATCAGTAATGGCAATTGTATCCGGTCCTTCACTGATGACAATTATAATTCAGGACAAGACATGTTTTGTTTGGGTTTTTTTTTTTTTGTTTGGTTTTTTTTTTGGGGGGGGGGGGGGGGGAATGTGAATATGTATTTGTGTCTGGTAGCCAAAAGTGGTTAGTGTTTACGAGAAAATATCAAACAGGTGCCCTGTGTTTTATGAAGGACATATATTTGCAGTTCAGGATGTAGAAGAACGTGTCACAAAGCGGTTACGTGGCTGAAAAGAAGGTAATTCTCAAGAAGAGCTGTTCTTTAAAGCACGCGGTAGTATCTTCTCTAAATGATTGTTAGTAGTGTTGCTGAAGAGGTGGGTGAGTAAGTTTGGTTTAAAGTAGTTCAGTCATATCACGGCGTGTCAGCTTGATGTGGGAGTAAAGCCGGAAGTGATGCAGGTCACAGACGTTTACTACTTTGTGACACCCACGGACACGGTTATGGTGCTGACAAACCTAGACACATAGTCAGGGCGATATGGGTTTTTACGATCCTAGGTTTTAACCAATGCCTGAAGGAGTCTACTTAATTCAACAGAACAAATTGTAGCATCTACAACGACCTAACCGTGTCCCCTTGTTATTGATAAACACTCCATTACTTTATTTAAATATTGCAGTTTTATTCACCCCCTCTTTTATTCTTTTTCAGGAATCCCAGTGCTTGTAAGTGCTATTTTACTTTTTCATATTTTACTTAAGCATAATTTGATAATATACAAGTGTGCATCTAGGCATCTTCTAATGGAAGCAACCATTTGGTGAACTGTTTGGGATGTGAACGTTCTTTTTTCACATTTTCACGACTGCCTCTGCACTATTGCCAGAACCAGCATGTGACGGCAATGACGGGTTCCTTGTCTGGGAATTTGATATTTTCAACAATTCACACTGCTATCTCTGACTGCCACGTAATCCACCACTAAGCCATCCCCTAGAACAGTAAGGTACATTCAACACAACCAAACAAAACATGGATGGTAGTATGTCAAATTACGAGACTGCAAGACGCTGTTTCATCCTTCAGATACGAATATACAAGAACTATACACTTTTTTAAGAAACCTTCATATTCCGTCACTAATGCGTTGTCACCAATTAATCATCATGGAAACTTATTATAGGTAACCCTATATCATAATCTTTGATGTCATGCAGAAAGCGAGGTATCTTCGACATTAGACTTGTTGCTTTGAATAAAACTATATGTCATAGGTGTTGCCTCACAGCCTTCATATCCCGCACTGCAGACAAGGACATTTAAAAGCGTCATATGAATATGGTGTGAACATTCTTATCTAAATAAAGTGTCAAAGTATTTCATCGAAGATGACAGACACATATTGTATAAAAAAGATAATACAATGTGAAATATACTTAAATTGTGGGAGCATTTGTTCTCAGTTTAATCAGCAAAATCTTGTTTGTATCCCCCTTGCATGTTTCCATTTTAAATACACCATTTCAGCCTGTTGAACTAATATGTAACTCACGTACATTGTAGCCATGCTAACAGACGACGTAAAGACACTTTACCACTTTAAAAACGAAATTGCAAAAAATTGAAAACACAAGTTCAAACTAAATCGATGCAACACACATCGTCCAAACACAGCAATGCTCTATGCAGAAAGTGATACACGTCTGATTTATTTATAAAGTGCGAAAAAGTGAAACAAACGTGCCATTTAGGCAGCCAAAACAACACGTGCAGAAAGTATTTTAACTGACAGAATGTCTGACACTGATAAAAACAACACAGAAATGCCCCACCTGACACCTGAACAACGGGGCGGGCGCTGGGTACGATGCAGGGCCACCCATGTCCACATGTCCACATTGATGGAACTTTTGACAGACATCAGACAGGCCACGAACAGGTAGACCCAGGGTAATCACGCCAAATGGAGACCGGGACTTGCATGCTTTGCATCTCCCGAATCGCTTCCTGACAGAAACGTCATCAGCGACGAATGCCTTAGGGCATATGGTTAGTCGACACATACTGAGTAGTATAGGTAATAGGGGTTCTGGACCACCGCCACTGGAGCCAGATTTGTAAACCTATACCAACACTACAGGGGGGAATTTTTTATGTGTAAATGATTATGCGATTCAACGATCGTCATGAGATTAAACTAAATTCATTATTTTATATTTACTTATGTAAGCATTCTTCTAAATGTTGGTTTTGGCATGGAATAATTGTTGTCTCCCCTGTTCTATGACCTTTTTTTCCTCGTCTTCGCTACCAATACCACTGGTCTTTGATCGAATCTCCTGCTTCATTGCATTGTATTTGGTGAGTTCTGACAACACTAAATGAAACTCCTCCTCGGATATTTTACAATCAGCCATTGCTGTTGAAATATGATCCTCAATGCTGTTCAACTTTGCTTCGCCGAGTATCCGAATATGATCATGTTTTAATGCTTTCTTTTGCAACTTACGAGAAAGGAATTTTATGGCTATTCCTGCCATTCCCGAGACTCCGGCAGCTATTTGCATGCCAAGTACGATATGCGCGGCAATTTTAGTTGATAATTTACCAACACCAGCTTTACGGAGTCCCATGCTAGCCGTTACAAGCCTGGCGTCAACTCTGTCGAGAGCATTCACGGCTCTGCGATACTTTGTATACAAGCCGAGTCTCAACTCCCCCTTCTTCTCTTTTCGATGTTTTAAGTTGCTTATTGGATGTAATCGAAATCCATCAATTTCATCGAGTGCTGGATATAAATCCATATTATCATTACATCATATAATAGTCTTTAATTGGTCTTGCTTAAATGTTTTGAGAGTATACATCAACCTTATCAAATGTATATTATACGGCATGAATATCTTAGTAAGAGAAATGCTGTCACTTTTAATAATTTGGACCCCCTCAAAGGTTGCAGCGGGTGATGCTCCAATATGAATAATACTGTAACGTTGACGTTTGTGTTTCTTTAGCCATTTAATCAATAGACCTGGTTATATTTCGAAGGCATCTTCAGGTGCATCTCCGAACAAGACTTCAATAATAAGTGTAGAAAGATTAGGTATTGCACTCAAGTTCTGTTTAATATAATTGAATTCAGTAACCAAATTTAAACTTACATTTTTTAATGCCGGACAACTATAGAACATATGACCTGGGTTTTCTGGTAGGGGAGAGACTAACACTCTTTTTCGTTTTGACTTGATATACGCCCCGAGTACGACCCCACTTTTTATTATCTTAGTTAATTTTTGTGCCTTACCCGTCATCACATACGGTGGGGCAATGACGATATTCAGTAGCCACTCGATGTTTGCTTCGACCATAGTCCATTTATTATCACCGTTGCGAGTAAGATTGTACGAAGTGTTTTTATTGAGTCTACTAACGTCGACATTGCTTATATCTCCTAGATTACCTGTGAATGTAACTTCTTTCCGCTAGTATACATTATCTTGTAAGTGTAAAGCGTATAACTTACAATCGGTACCAGGTTTACCGAATCTTTCTGTGTCTCCGAGATCAGAAAGCGCAATTGTATTACATTGTCTGAGTGTTGAGACGCCTGATGAATCAACCATTATTTATAATATGGAGTGTTACACTCAAGTATCCTGTATGTACAAGTTGATGTTTTACATCTAATACAGAAATTTTGAGATCTGAAATAATACCACGCTTTAATTTTTTACATTGTAATGATAAGAAAGATTCCGTTCTACCGCTATTGTATTTTTCATCTTTGACTGGAACAGCTCTGAGTAGAGTTGAAGGACTTTCGAGTTGAATATTATCCGTCGTGCTTATTTGAACAAGATGGATGCACAACTCTTTATAGGGAACTGAATCGGGTAAGTTAACTCCCCCAAATGTTGTCTCGATTAATGTTAGCTCTCCTCTAAATCCAAGTGTAATTCCTAAGTTCATGAAAAGCTTTACACCCTTTTCTCCAGCGTTCAAAATCGGCATCCTATTCGACTCATTTTGTGTGAGACTAATTCCATTAGGCTTAAAAATTTCATCATTGAGTGAGCATAGACTGTAATACCCATCAGGTATAATACTGTATTTGTCAATAACATCGTTTTCACCTAATTATTAATCTTGCAGCATTTATATTGGTCCACCGCGGGTAATACGTTACATCGCATTGGGCGACTTCAAGTTGACCATCCGAGTTATCGATAGTATGAAGCAGTTCAATAGACTGGCGATTTGTTATTCCCGGGAGTGTGACATACATATTAAATATACAATGATACTATATCATAACTTAAATATGAAATCAACTTATATTACTAATCAGTCGATTTTAGTAAGTGCCTCTGGTGCTAATTTTGTTGTTGAGTTCACTGACATCTTTGAAAAATACAGTTTCAAGGCAATAGCGATAAAATGGTGCACGATTGGTTCCACAAGCTGATGCAATTTTGGCAGAATCAGTTATATTTTGACATATGGTGTGCAAAAACAAGATGTGGTGTATCTCTTTATGCCCCAGGATTTGAACTTAATAAGTCTGTTTTATCATTTCCCGTGTACTATCAGATTAGACGTATACTAGACGTATTAGACGAAATTAGTGCCCCATTACCGCAGGATCGAGCATGGAATGCATCAAATAATCCGTACAATAGGTTCGCGTATGAACGTATTTGTCAGGAATTTAATATTGCTACGAGTAAAGATTGTGTATTAAAGGAATTAACCATGGTCTAGGTGTTCCGTACAGCGAAAAAAAAACTGTTAAAGAAGAAAGCGATGATTTATGGACGCAAGTTAAATCCATAACGTAGACTTCGGGATCCATTAGGGGTCAAAGCAATTCGTCAGTCTGTAACTATCACTAATAACCTGAGTACCATTTATCAGAATCAAACGCTTCTGGTTCGCTTTCCTAATCTCGGCGCACACGATGTGTTAGTTCCGGGAACTGTCTGACTAGCATTTACGATTACTTTGACTTCTGCCGACGTTAACAGGGAGCCTGTTCAGAACATAGGTCATGCTATCGTTAAGAAAATCGTGATTAAAATTAGCGGTAATGAGGTTTTGAGTATCGATGATAGCGATGTATACTATTGTTACATGGATCTCTGGAGAACGGATAAAGAGCGGGAAAACTGAAAGTACCAGGGTATTTGTAATCGGAACACATTGAGACTGCGTGTGGGTGCTGGTAATGGTGATAATACTGTCGTAAAAGATCTCGTTTTGCCGGCACATTAGGTAACCGATTCTATATTCCGCTAAACTTTGAATTATTAGATTCCCACATGCCCTTCTATCAAGCATCTACTGTAGATGACGGTAGATGACTACGGTTGAGTAATCAGAGCTGCTGAAGATGCTAGCTATTCCACTGACAATATCTCACTTGGGTATGGTATGATAACAGATCCCGAATAAGCAAGACAAATTCGTAACCAGTATACCGGAAGTTTAGCCATTTTGTACGATCGCGTGCTTCGACACCAAAAGATCACAAGGAACAAAAAAGATACGACGTGGAATATCAATCTAAACGTCCCTACGAGATCGTTGAAGGGTATTTTAATGTTGTTTGAGGACCCCTCCGATGCATTCAAAATTTATACTGAGAAGTTCTACAATCCCAAGATTACAAAAGTAGAATTGACTATCGAGGGCGTGCCTAATCAATTATATAGTCAAGGAATGCTAG